TGTGTGGAAGCAGTATTGGGGATCACGTGTGCAGCCCTGACTCTTTCCATTTCATCAGCAATTTCGGTCCGTCTTCGAAGCTCCTGTGGCCTAACATAAGAAGACGCTGCCAAAACCGTTACTGGCGCAATATACGACTTGCTAGTCAGTTGACCCGTAACAAATCCCTACATTAGTGGTGATATTTCGTACATTGTTTTTTGTTCGGGAGCCGGCAGCAGATGAATGGTCCCACAAGGTGCCGTCGAATCGACCGTCAGTAACGCAGGTATCATGTCAGTATCGAAAAAAGCTTACCTTCAAAAAGCTTACCTTCAAGGTGACCAAAAAAGGGCCGCGTGCTCAGAGTACTTCCGATATGCATATGGACCTTTGTGGCATTGAGGCAGCATTTTCATCCTGCGGAGAAACACTCCTATGATCTTCTTCTCGCTCGGCGCGGATCAGAAGGCACCATTATGCCGCAGAATGCACTGAGTGTAATGAAAGAAGTAACTGAATAAAGGAGAGTTAGTGGTACATTGATTTGAAGAAATTAGTATAAACAGGCTTTTTGAAATCTGACTGTCCAGATTGGAAGGGTCAGAGCTTTGTGGCCTCTGAAAAGACCTGTCTCACGGCAAAACCGGGAATACAGCCACCTATACGTCTCGTTCGTACCTTCGGACAAATGAAGAATCGGATCGGAGTAGGAGATTTCGAATCTTCGGTGATAGTATGGCACTGCAACGACGTTCCGCGCTCTGCGGGAATCTGCTTATATTTTCCATCATCCTGAACACTGAAGACTAGACAAATTTTGAGTGCGAAGTGCTCCACTCACAAAGGTGCTTCTAAGAGTAAGCTGATCAAACACAGTCATTCAGAGGCTCCTATTTCTCGAGAGAATCATCATCATCCAGCAGTAGAATCTTATCTCTTTGTAGACAGAAATACAAAGAAATATCCTCAGGGCCATTTAACTATACTCACGGCTGGCGAGGAATTTGTGCACTAAAATTACTGGCATAGCCTTGAGCTCAATGTATTGTTCTTCTGAAGTCCGGCTGCGGATGAAAGGTGGACAGCTGCTCATGCACCAAGAAGTCTGATCTCAGCGATTTTCTTTTTAAAGAGCTTCTCGGATTTCTAAGCTGCTCAAACGGATTGGCTAGTCAGTCAAAATTAAGTTTTTGGTGTGGCAGCATGGAACACAAAGAATAGGAGCACCTTGCGGCTCCTAATGCAGTGGGATGCCAATACTGCAATATTTATTCACTACGGTGCTCACCAAATCTTGTTCAGCCATGACAGCATCACCGTAGATGGTCGTCTGTGGAGGTCGCCGAACGTGCTGTTGATATCAGTGCAACTTCCATCAATATCATGCAGTGTCTCGCAGCAGCAAGAAAAGCACTTCGTGGTTCGCAGAAATATGGGCGGGCAGAGTGGGCTCGATCGGTTATAGCCACGCGCCCTGAAACCTTGGTATGCGTGGCAGATATAGACGTCAATGACGTGGGACGAAAGGCGATGCTTGTATTGGAATTCGTAGCACAGCTCGTGATCGTTCGGTAGAATATAGACGACTACGTCTCGACCACCTTGCTGGGATGGTTGAAAAATAAATGGGATGGATTAGAAGCCACAAGATTAGAGTAGTGGTATGATTAACAATGACGAGTCACTCCAATTTGGCACTCCTAATCTGGCGGTACATCACGTAACATGCAGCCGAGCACTTACCATGATAGGCCATCCTCTTCAAACGACTGTCTTATCTCCCACTTACTGGAGAACTCATGAAAACATGTTTGCTGATCGTTTTCTCTGGGTCCTCATCTTGCACGTTCATTAAGTGATAATCTTTATCTTATCGGCTTCACGTTGCCAAAATTCACTTTCAGTTGTTACTGGAATAGGAGCACTGAAAAACATTTCTTCCAGCGTGTCCAAGCATTCAATAACCATGACAGATACTAGCATAATAGATTACCAAAACCGTACAAAACTTCAATAGCAAGGCAACGTATACGTATACGTCTTGCTGCGTATACGTTACGCAGCAAATGCACCTACGCACGAACAATCAATATATATGCACTGCAGGAATCCTAATGTGGCGTGATAAATAAATTTGAAACCTTCAAAAAACAATGGTAGAAGTCAGAAGAATACAGCATCGAAATACAGCAGAACTGATTATTATTGTAGTAATAATACTTTGAATCATATCATAGGCTGAACATGGATGCATCCACTCAGCAGTACCAGAAGCTGAATCTGTAGTTGTGAAATGAATAGACGAAAAAATCGCGTAGAAAGGAATGCAACCGAGTAGCGAAAGATTAGGAATCAAACCGATTATTTTGGCGCGCTGAACCTGATTGATTCATCGAGTGAAATTGCACAGGCTGCGCACTTGGCATCGTTCCAGCAGCGGTCCACAGCTGGTCTGGCAAAATGCCGTGGCTGATTTAAATATAATATTTAGCATGCTTACGGGAAAAAGTGATTACTTAGACATCTGCGACATGTCACCCACCACCAGATATTCATGTATGACTGAACAAATCATTTAACACGGCCTTGCCAAGTCTTACATTCTGAAATCTACACTTCCCCTGGTGGAAATCCAGTTTAAATTTCTTTGTATATAATTTCATTATTCATGTTATGCTTAATAATGAACCGTTTAGGTGACATTCTATCCGAACGATAAACGGCAAGAGACTTATCTAGTGATTCAGAACAGTTCTGATACCAGGGTTATGTTTAAAATGAAATCAACACGACCTACATTGTACAAAATGAGACCAGTTTTTGGAATAGTTCAACCTGGAGAAAAGGTATGTTGGAATACGTTCTTACACCACTCAGCAATGACGAGCACAAGTTCACTTGGCGGTATGAGTTGACCCACGAAAAAAGCGACGTTATCCCTGGTTCGCGCACAGCGTGGAACAATTCTTAGTCAGTCCAAGAGCGTGTGAGTGTCCAGTAGGATAACGCTCGTTGCTGTCGCAATGCTAAAGTAGAAAAAAAGTATCGTAAGATACATTTTAGGACAAGAAAAACGTACAGAAAGCATACGCCTTTACGAACAAGTCACTCTGGGCACACGTCATCAGGAAAATTTTCAATGGGTTGAGAGTTGCTACAAACCAGAGACCTTGAATAGGTGTTTAAGTGAATCCAAGCTTAAAGGCTGCATCTTTGGCAGAAAAGTCGCCATTTTCGTTGTTAATAGTTATTTCGGCTTCAACTTACTAGAGAGGAAACAGGTTGTAGGATTTGGTTGTAGTACTTACGAATTAATATTCATAGCTCTCTGAGTAGCGACGATGCCTTAGACGCAAAAAATCAATGCTCAATCTAATTCTAAGATGCAAATTTTCATCAGAAATGTCGTAAAAATGTAAATTTCAGTTCTCAGTACGACTGGTATTCACTGGAGTGAAAATTGGAAACAGAATACCAACAAATGACAGGTAATTCCTACTGTTGGTAAACTTTCGCGACTTATATGCACGGTTTANGCGAAATAAACACGGAAATAGGCGTGTTCAGAAAAAAGTAAGTCTTTACAAGGGAGCGGATTCAGGAGACGGGCGAGAGCGTGACGACAGGAGACGCATGGGAGGGGTATTTGGACGAGCTGTTCGTATGTGTGAGCCATTGCGATGCAATCCAATGGAAAAGTCCCAGAACTATTTTAACGGAACCGTGCCTTTGAGGCACTCACTGCTTTGGGACACACAGCGTCGTAAATCGTTTCACACTGAATACTCCATAGCTTCTTTCACTTTCCATTCACGTTCTAAAAGGGTTTTGTTGCGAATGCTTCGAAACCACCCTTAAATCCAAGATCTGGATCGCTTTTCTTGAAAAGAGGGTAAGAAAAAGGAACTAGCACCCTCTATGGCTTTTCATTCTCATCTAACAGTATGTTCGCGAACAATTGAAAAAACATTACTTCAAGATTCAAAGATTCCAGAATCACCGTTGTAGTGGCTACAAGTGTACAGAAAGATGGTACAGATAGCTGGGACAGAATTGCCAAGGAATCTGTGAGAGAATTTCCTGAGTAGTTACGGTTTTTTGATGGAGTCCGATAGGCTCTGAAAATAGCCCAAGAAATATTACGTATATATGGAATAAGACTTGATTACACAAAACGTCGTTGATTGCACGAATTGAGTCTCTTTTCTTTGATCACTGTAAACGAACAATGTACAGTGGGCATCAAGCCAGCATCTGCTCCATAACTCATGTTTGTAACAATGCACCACTCGGTGCCACACCACTTCAGCCCAGGATAAATAAGCGCCTAAAACGTGAAATAAGGTTTGAGTGTTCCAACTATGTCAGTGACCGTAGGATCTAGCCTGCCAACGGACGAAGTAGAAAGTGACTGCCGGAAATTCCTGAGAAATAGAACTCTCTTCTGCCACCGTTTTCTTCACCTTGCGTAGATCCCACGCCGACTCAGGGACCGCTATTCTTGCCGCCGTCCCTACGCCATCTTCTGCCGTTACTTTAGCTCCGGCAAGGTCCTCCTGATCTCCTCCCGCCACCTCTTCTTTGGGGCTCCTCGTGTTCGCTTACCATGAGCTTCAAGCTTCATTGTCCCCCTTATTGGATGATTCTGTGGTCTTTTCAATACGTACCATCTGAGCAAGCATCTGGGCAAAGGGATGAGCGATGAATACGTAAATACCGGCGAGCGCAGATATTTATGAATTACAGCAAGGGGACTTTTTTCTGAAATACAACTATACAGTGCTTCACGCTCTATTTTGTATCTTGTGAGCACGGGCGGATTTCTTATTGAAGCATTCATTTACTACCAGAGTTATAAGGCATAACAACATCACTTCCATTAGCATGGAATGGAATGGATATATGACTTTTCTAAATATCTCTCGGTTGAATGAACGTATTATGCTACCTATCTCATGTTGTGACCCATATACGACCTTTCGTTCCTCGAAAAATAGAAAGAATTTCAGCCAAGCGAAATGAAAAAGCGGATGTTAAGAGTACTATTCGTTGGTGTGAATGATAAAGAACCGAGGCCATCATCGGCAGAAGCTGAAGGAAAACCTGCGGAAAAAGAAGCTGCAGCGAAAGTTCCACCAAAGGCTGAAGCGGCTCCAGCAAAGGCTGAAGCGGCGCCACCAAAGGCTGAAGCGGCTCCAGCAAAGGCTGAAGCGGCGCCACCGAAGGCTGAAGCGGTTCCAGCAAAGCCTAAAGCGGCTCCACCTAANGAAATACAACTATACAGTGCTTCACGCTCTATTTTGTATCTTGTGAGCAAGAGGCGGGTTTCTTATTGAAGCATTCATTAAATACCAGAGTTATAAGGCATAACTACATGGAATGGATACAAAACTTTTCTATATATCTCTCGGTTAAACGAACGTATACTACCTATCTCATGTTGTGACCCCTATGCGACCGTCTTATCATCGAACAATCGAAAGAATTCCAGCCCAGCGAAATGAAAAAGCGGATGTTAAGAGTACTATTCGTTGGTGTGAATGATAAAGAGCCGAAGCCATCATCAGCAGAAGCTGAAGGGAAACCTGCGGAAAAAGAAGCTGCAGCGAAAGTTCCACCAAAGGCTGAAGCGGCTCCAGCAAAGGCTGAAGCGGCGCCACCGAAGGCTGAAGCGGTTCCAGCAAAGCCTAAAGCGGCTCCACCTAAGGCTGAAGCGGCTCCGAAGAAAGAGGAACCAAAAGTTCCTGAAAAGCCGAAGGAAGCTGTACCGGAGAAAAAACCGGAGCAATGGGTAGATGTGCAAGAGCGTGATAAACAATGGCTTGACAAACTTTTGAAGAGGGAAGATCGTTGGATGCAAACCGCTGTAGAAGAACCGAAGGTGAGGGGGGCCTTGTCAGAGGGGATTTTACGATAATCCTTCTAAGCGGGGTCTATATTTACAGGATAAAGCACTAAAAGCAGGTGAGCCTCCAAAAGCAGGTGAGCCGATGGGAGAAGAAATGGAAGCGAAGATTCTCATAAAACAAGAGAAACGAACGTACCTTGACGGTTACTATGATGGTTACAAGTTGGGCATAACTCAAGTAATTTTTTGTTTACAAATATTTCAACCAAATTTGTCAATAATATATTAAATATAAACATTTTCAAGAGTAGAATGAAACCACAAGAGGTCGATGCCGATGCGCTCAAACCAGCACTTGAAAAACTACCTACAAAGGAAAACGATGTGAGTCACACAGAAATCCATCTTGCCCTTGAACGGTTTCGAAGCAGATCGCACTCTTTCATTAATGGTGTAATGTGAAGGGAATCATTCAAGGTAACATTCATAACTTAGCGTCAGCATCGATGACTCNAAATGGCCTTTCCTTCCGTTGCCTCCCAAGTTTATTTCTAAAAGGACCGTCAACCTCACAGTCCTTCACATGAATGTTGCTCTTCCTCTCAAGTTCTTGCTCTGATATGACACCGATTCACCTCCAAAGACGTCTGAAATAGGTCAATGAGTATACGCACTGCTCACTATCTTTATGATTCTCTGATAGAGCTTTTTTTGCAACCTATCCTTCTGAGCCTTTAGGACCGATCACAGGGTATAAGGGTTGCTCGAGTTTATAAGTTTATCGAATGTTCATCTCCAACTTTGAATGGCAATGTAGCTCATCTCGGAGTGATCAGTGGCCGAAAATTATTATACTCCCCACTCGTATACTGGGAACGAAAAAACAACCGGATGGATAAGGTCTCTGGCTTTATTCAATCCAGATTTTAGGATGAGCCTCGCATTTGACTCCCATTCAGAATCGTAATAGTGCCTTGAATGCAAATAGACTAGACTTGCGGCGGCCAGCCAAGATTTGTTAGCTGCATTTATCTTACCAGCACCATCTCACGCGCATTGTCTCGGGTTCGAATCCCCAACCGGTATCCGCTTGGATTAACCGAGCTTTCCATCCCTCTGAGGTCGGCTGATTGGTACCAGACTTGTCTGGGAGGATAGATGCCCTGACTTGTACATCGGCAGGCCACCGAAAGTCCTTGTATAGGTCACATATGCATTCATTATACCACTACGCTTCTGAATGGAAGTTGAGTGCACGGGCGCACCCCTCAGGAGGGAGCTGGCTGTCGCCAGAAAGCTTTATTCTTTATCCTACCAAACGAACCTGGTCCCAATAAACCGATCGGTGGAGGGCTTAGATGGTTTGAGAGTGTATCGGCGCAAAATTCGATCCCTGAACCAAGCATGTGTGAAAATGCGTCACTTGCCAATGCTACACATTCATTATTTTGAGATATTTTGCTACATTCCCGGAATATTTTCCCTTCAACTCATATTAGACATTCAGGCGAAAACTCGCGCCTATAGGATCGGATTCATTGAGGGCTATAATAGAGCCCGTTTGTTGAAAGATGGATTCGCAGCGAAATCTCCTGTATTAGAACAGTTGACAGCAAAAGCCATAAGTGGTCAGTCGATTCTTGCGAAGACACTATTCTGAATAGGACCTTGCAAAGTATTTCAAATGAAGAATCCGAATATTTTCAGACAGAAGGCCACCTATCGCCGTATCCGATGGAACAAATGTGTACGCAAAAACACCTGGTGGTAGTGAACCAATCCTTATGGATCCTCTACAGAGACGAGACATTATACATATTGCAAGAACCGGAAGGGTATGTATCATCTTCAACATCTACATAGGGTAAGGCACAAAGTGAACGGATAGACAGGTCGATTTTATTGGAATTTGCCCCATAGATAAGTTATACAGCCTTAAAAGGTTACCTCTTGATGTTACCGACCTTCCTATTTCCTCTTGGAACTCTGTCTTGAGAAGATCTGCACGTACTGTTGTGGCGTGAAAGGTTCGCCAAGATGAAAGCGAGCCCTCTTGCCCCTGAGGGAAGTTTTCTTCTCAACGACCTGAAACTGGCTTGAAAAGCCTGAGTCAACTGTACTATCGTGTCAAGCTAGTTGCGAAGGTTCTTAGATGCCTTGGAGATTGTAAAGGGTCTAATAAGGAGTACCAGCCTCTCCCGCGTGGCTATCACTAAAACAACGATACATGGCTACAAGCATGTACCAGTGAAGCCACTATTCTAAAAAGTTGTGCGCAGTGCCAAACCGAGTCGGACATGGCGCACTTACGGAGCGGGATGAAAAGGCCTCCATGTTCAAAAAGCTAATTTTTTCGTGGTACTTAGGAAGTTTACAACTTGCGTAGCACCAAAAAGAGGGACACAAAGTGAACTGCGAGGCAAACTCACCAGATCAAATATTTTTGCGTGGGATAGCAAGATATTTCCATCCCAGCAAGCTTTTCACAACACATCGGAACACCCATAACATCATCCGTATGCCAGCGAACGCAAAAGATCGAATCCAGTTGTTTCGATGTGTCATTTCTACGAAGAGCATCAGTTCTAGCGAGAACGACCACATCCATGTAAAACTAGTATTCTATACCGCAAATAAAGGCAGGTCTTGCTTTAATTGATCTCTTGAGAAGATCTGTACCGTACTGGTCCTATTGTGATGTGCCTATTACAACGTTTACCCCACTACCCCTACTCAGGGGATTTCGCACGAAGACCCCTTGACCCTAACCTCTTCCAACTCTGAGTATATCGAGTAGTCTCTTCAAAAGGTCCGGTTTTAAAACACCCTAGGTCGTATCAGGAAGTTTAGAGCAGCAATCCCTACCACCTAACCCTTCAAGCCACGCGCACTCACTAAATGGAAGAGCTTCATCATAGGAAAAGTCTGATAGGGGCTCTATCTTATTTTTTTAATTAACGTTTTTCAGAAGTCGTTCATAATTGTAATGTATCGTGATCCAAAAGTACCTGAGAACCTGATATCGAGAAGTGGGGACGAAGAAGAAGACTCGCCTCCCAGCGCCCAAGTGGAAGTCGGCGGAAATCCTCAAGCACCAAAAGCGCAGTAACTCACAATGGGAAGAACGTAGTTAAAGAAGATAACGAAGCTGAATCCTTTTACAATGAATGATTAGGTTCAGATATGATTGGTAAGAAGCAAACAGTCGAACTAACTCGTAACGTTCTATCGGAAAAATGCCTCAACGCCATGATTCCTGAATGGTGAAACAGGAAATCAAAGATCAGTCTAGCAATTATGGCGTCCAAAAAAAAATCCCAAGCTGTTGAAGTTCTCCCAAAACATTTCCTTTGTCTATGTGAGGCACGCGCATCATGCCACACAATGTTGAGTCTAGTTTTCAAAGATGGGAGTTCTGGCTCGAAAGCTGGCCGTCGGTAGCCGCCAGCCGCTATATTCGGAGGCACCCAACGCCCTAACCCATGTGAATTTATAGTGCAAGTAAGGCGGAGAAATTTTCCCCATCTCAATTTCACCGTTACGTCTTAGGGTGGTAGGTGGGCATTGCCAATAACGTGGAGTAGATCGCCAGTGCTCATTATGCCTTTTGAAAAAGGTCTTATAACCATACGATGACATCACTATATTAGGTGTATACGATATAAAGAAAAGAATCGTTAGAGTATGTACCGTAATCTGAGGAACATTGGGGAAGATCCTGAGATCAATTAATGCTCCGCGGTAATTACCTAAACAACGGTGCAACATTAAAATAAGGTTGAGCGACATACTTTTCTGAAGATTAACGACCGTAATGTCATACCTGGCATTACTAAAAGATTAATCAGACCATTTGAAAAAGGAAATCCTTTGCGGAGATTCCACCTTGTTCACGGCAGCTCCACCAGCGTCATCCCAAACTCCTTACACCTTGACTCCAGTGACACCATTTTCACTCGGTAGGAAAGCGTGCCGAGGTTTCAAGCTCAGTGCTTCAAACCACTTCCACAAATGAAAAGTAGAATTTTCCTTCGTTCGATAAGTAGTGGGTACACCCGTGCGGTGGCGGATCCTCGTACGTTCTTGTGCGGCTTTCTTTTGCAGGATGGCTGCTGACCCGGCAGCAAAAAACTAAATGTAAAACCCACACGACCACGTTTATCAAATGGCAAAAGAAACAGAAGCTGAAACTGAACCGCGAATTTAAGGCTAAGAACGGCATGTACAATTGGTGGTAGGAAAAGTGCCCTACACAGATAGGGCTGTTGCTAGTTCAGCTGTGCGTTCAAGTGCATTTTCATGAGATCCTCAAAGTTGGTATGGGCACAACCTCCCGAGTGACAGTATCCTCTCACATCTTTAATCAATAATTTTAGTTCCGATAAGAAGTATAAGAGCACCGCAATAGAGAACCTACAACTTCGGAGACTCCGAGCACCTCCATTATGCTAACCATAAGATTAGCTTTTACTCGTCACTACTGGTGGTCCTAAGCTCTTTCTGTAGTTTAAAAGAGTCGTGTGAATAATCGCAAGCTTTTCCCTACCTACCGAGCCCCAAAGAAGGCGATTTTGTCGAAACATCTCTGTTTTGTAATCATTATTGGACAACTCTAAAAACATCCCTGTTTTCCTTTACAAGATCCATGATATTTCAGCTGTGACCTGCATAAAAATCACTTGCAATAGCAGCAGTCACTCAAGAGCCAAGGCAGTGTAAACTTCAATTTGCGGTCCCTTCGAATTGGCGAGACTTACTGTTCGATACGAACCAGTCTGAACAGCCTGCTTGCAAGAGTATATGCGAGATAACGATATGAAAAACTAGGAACTAATTTACAACACCATTCTCAGCGCTCGAAATACTCCATATGCTGAAATTTCTGCTCTGTATGTTCCCCTAACAGTAAATAAAACACCATGTAAAGAAGGCTTATATATGCTTCCAGTAAAAAAAAAAAAGAATAGGATATCTGCAATGAGTTCAACCTTTTATCCTTACACTCAAATTTTGGTAAAAACACCGACACCATGCCTATTAGGCCTTATCTTATGGTCGAAGTTACGAAATGAATGATTCAAAAACATTTCAAGATCATGGACACGAAGGTTTAAGTATTTGACGTTAGTTACTCCTCTGAATGCGTATGTTGCCTACACAAAAACTCGCGGTGGCCAGCCGATGTACAAGTCAGTGCTTTTATCCTCTCAGACGAATCTGTCTCCAATTAGCTGACCCTGGAGAGATGAAAGGCTTAGTCGTTTTGGGCGGATATCGATCCTTGATTCGATCTCATGCGTGTTTGACAATGCGCCTGCCACAACACCTTCGCCCACCTTCCAAACTAGGCGTAAAATTCGTCGAAAAGTTTAAATTATTTCATACAGAACCTTGGCAAGCGATTCATTTAAAAATTCGAAACAAACAAAATCATCAAAAACAAACATTTAAACATGAAACGTGACAAACTGAGCGATTGGGAAAAGCAAAATGTGCAGGTGCAGGTTGGAAGATTAAAATCATAAATTATCAAATTGAGAAAGATGTTAAGCAAGGAATGTTAGTACCATGATGAACTCACTACCAACAAACTCGTTATTGAAACCAGTAAACAAGTTCAATTCGTTCTATTCGTGGTGACGGTAATATCAAGCGGCATCTAATGCTTCAGGGTATCAGCATGAAATTTAAAATGGTCCCCAATAAATGTGGCGATGAAATAGTAGCTGTGGTCATACTCCGGCTGCGTCCTTACCTCCACAGACACTGAATCGGTTGACTTCAACGATTCCGGCTGAAGTTGCCCAGCTGACAGAAATGAGTCACTAGCACCCTGAATTTACCTCTAAACATCTCGCAAAAAAAAATTGAAACCAGTGCACCAACTCAAAGGCTAACTTCGGACTAGCACGATTATTACCAACCTGGTCGACGAGTATCTTCCTTGGTGAGCCATTGTAGCTTTTCAACAATAATGATGAATCGTACTGCTCCCATGTTTTCGTGTCCGAACCTATTTGGATAGAAATGTTATTATAGTACGGCACAGTGTACAGTGCGCACTCCACGATGTTCAAACGGCACCCGCGCCGCATGAGCTACGCGTGCAGCAATCGATACTGCATGCTTCCATCGCCTTTAGCATTACAGTGCTTGAAGTGCTCTAATTCACCTCTCCAACATGTTCCACCCTTTATAGGCTAACTATTTCTGTTCACTGAATTTTCTATGCCATGATCGATCGTCTTGAGTTTTCTAGCTAGCTTTTAATCACGGCTCAAAAAGGTCAATAATCCGGTGTATAGTACATGCCGGCGCACAAAGACTGCTATTTGCACATCGTGGACTATGAGTACTACCTTATTCTTTGAATAGAGTCTTTCCAACCAACCTAGGTAATTCTTAAATGCTTTCTGGCCCCATGGGCAGTTAATTGGATGACATATAGGAGCAAATGCTGAGATGGATTTAAATATATCATGGCGTTTCAATCCAATCGAAATCGCACCGTGGCCTCCCATGCTGTGACCGAAAATCCCTATAAAACAAATAATGAACAATCAAGATAACGGAAATATGAAAATATAGAGGACTTGAAGGAAATGTCGGAAATCTCGCCGTTCAGCAGAGAATCTCGGAAATGAAAAACCTTAGCCAGTACCGTACCAACCTAGTCTTGCAGGATCAATCGGAAGCAGTTTTTTAACAGTGTCCAGGAGCTCTTCAGTGACGTAACTGTACATTCTGTAGTGATCTGACCATGGCTTTTCGGTGGCGTCAACATAGAATCCCGCACCTTCAAAAACGTAATCAGAGTAAAACCTCATGTGAAGTTATCGGTGCTTCCGCCCTGGAGTGCCTTCACAGCACTGCAAAGTGGCAGAGCTGCATCGAAACTGCATCGAAACTGCTGAAAAGAGAAGTGCTATCTACTGATTCTATAAGTACATGATATCGTAAGGTTCCTTAGGTGACCGCTCACGACCCTCTTATCAACACTTAGCATGTTACTTTTATGAAATTTTTACTTTGTACACATTTTATTTCACTGAAGAGGGCCGAAATAATAAACTACGCTTACCTTTGCCAAAGTCCCACGAATCGCTGTCTCCAGGCAGGTCCACGCCTCTAGGTGAAGTGTCGGGATGCACAACAATCATCCCTGTAACAGCTTCAATAGCTGCGCAGCTAGGAAAGGGTGCACCCAGAAAACGGTAACGAAGAGAAAATATATAAGTAAATTCAGAAAAACTTGAAATGCTTACCATGTTCACTCGCATACCTTTGAAATCCAGATTTCTCCATGAAATTCGCATGAGTACACGTCAACCCTGTAAATATGCTTGAATACTATCACTTTCAACTACTGATGGTCCGGTACACTTTAACCCTTTAACGATGAGGCGGATTTCGACGTGATGCGCCCATGGGACCACGCTCCCCTACTTTTGCGCGCGACTGGCACCCACCGGTGGATGGCACTGTCCCAGGAGAAACTTATTTTACTGGCTTACTGAATTCAGCAATTTGTAACAAACAAGAAAGTATGGTGGCTCCCAAAATAGGGTGACAATGTACCATGTGCCAGTCATAGTGGCACCCACCGGTGGGTGCCATTGTCGTCGAAGGGTTAAAATACCTGCATTAAAAGACTCTCACCAGACAGGTAAAAAAGCCCGGGCAAATGTTGGCCATCCTTGTGTTCGGGAACATATGCTCCGAATAACATGTCACATTTGAGAACATTGCTGAAAAAGTTGCAATACAGACACGTTTTCGCACAGCAGCGAATAGGAGTCAAGAATCAAGAACGTGCCCTTGCTATTTTGTGATGAATTATTGCTCAGTACCTGCGAATGACACACTATCACATGTGCATTCATTAGAAGCTGCAGCTCCGCACCATTTCTAACTTATGCGCTAAGTAAGTAAGAAAGACAGAAGGCTTTCGCGGTGAGATTTTTATATACATATTTCATCTAGAGTCGCTAAACACCGTTGAATCACCCAATTATGTCATTCAAACTTATTACAGCAGTTGCCTAAAGTCCATCCGATTTCACTTTCCTAACTAAACGTCAGATTGATATTGTTCTTCCCTTCCACCATAGAATTAGTTTGTTTTGCTCCCCAATCCTCTAATCTCACACCCCAACGTCTCAAGGATCTAGACAAATGGCGGTACCAATTGCAGTTGTTCGATACAAAAGCATTTTTATGACTGCCCTATTATAGCTGTACAACCATAACACAGAACTCCCTGAACCTTTTTAGCTACCTGTACTGGGAAGCTAAGAAAAACGGTGCGTGCTAAGTTCACATGAGAGCCTTTCACCGATGCAGTTTTATGCTCGCTATGCTCGCTGCACTTCCAATAGTAGGATCACCGTTTATAGTAGGGTCAATTCTCACGGCGATGGCTATTACATAACTACGACGTATCAAAACAATCCACTGAGAGCATGAGTAGCCCATACGATATCAATCTCTTCAATACAAACAGGCTATTTGATAGGTCGTTCGCTCGCTTTATTTTCGCTTGATACCTAACACTGTATACACATAATGAGTCCACGAATGAAGTGCGCTGAGAAGCCTAATAGATTGTAGGGACAAACATCTAACCCTAACAGACATACCTGTGATGTTTGTAAACATTTTGACGACCTCGAAAACAACGCACACTGGACACAAGTTCGGCCGGCATCTGCAATGATATTGCCATAAATCAATAAGTTCCGCTATCATCCTTCCAAGAATGGAATCGCATGGATTTTTTATTGCATTGAAAACAACAACATCAGCAGCAACAACAACAACAACAAAAGGAAAGGAGGAGTACTCAATGATCTTGTTTGGTCAATGCAAGTATAATAGAGACCACGGCCATCAGCAGTAGACAGTATACATCAGTATGCATGGGGTTGCGGGAAGTGGCTTAATCAGGAAGGCCCCTGCTACATCAAAGGGTTATGTGAATTACTGGTTCGGGTGATCATGGCCAAAATTCTATCGAAATGTTTGAGCCGTAATTGCCACAATTACGATTTCCCAGGACGACTTTCTTAAGCAAGATATATCGACCACACCTTGAAATGTTGCTATCAACTGACCGATCATTAGGACGGGCCAGTCCTCAGGGTTTAAGAATGACAGAAGATCGACTTTCAATTTTCGAGCAATATCAGCAGAAATTTCACTTCTGTGCGGACCAGCAGATGCGAATGATTACGTATTGCACAGCCATGGAACTTGGAATTTCACAGAGGCATAGGTTACGGATCGAAACTATTGTCTCGACGTGTAATAGCCAAAAGTGTTCAGAGGAAGTGCTCGAAATTCGATGATTCTTATCTGAAGTAAAGTATTTTTGAGTATTAGATGAGTGTTTAGCCNGATGGCTGATATATGAAATGATGTTCACTAGCTGTTGCACAGTTCCAATCAGATAGCAACCATGCAAATACAGGCAATTCGCTCGTGAAGCAAAATGCACTGGACTGAAATCAAAGAAATTTTTGCAAAGTTTCTTCAGCTTCGCCTAATTTGGGTTGCCTAGGCGTGAATGTCCATTTCTCCGAAGCCTCTCCCCATTTCCCTGAAATATGCAGTGCTGTACCACTTATTTCATGTTACTACTGACGCCATCTATAGCCGGTACCTTTGCTAGTCAAACATCCACCATCAAGAACTCTGATACCGTGATCTGTTAAAAAACACAACGGTCAAGTGATCGTTTCAAAGAAATTTAATGAGATTGTAGACAGACCAGATGGATTTCCTAGAGCCACCTTTAGTTGATAATAGAAGTTGAATGCGGAAATGATCAAGAACCATCTTTCCAAGCAAGGTACGAATGGGGACTGGTGGCCGGGAACTGTAGTCTTCCCATGGCTGTCGATGCGGGAACAAAGAAAGGGTCAATTTTCATTCTTTTAATCAGTATGCCATCATCCTTTCCTACCATCCTATAGCACTTTGCATTTAAGCAAGTTTCAAAAACACACCTTTGTCCGATCTCTATTCACCTCACTTTTAGCGAAGAGGAGCCGTTTCTCTCGATGACTCCGTATTAGTCGTGGTGCAGACTTCATCTTCTGTGGAGCTATGTGGTTCGATGATTTCAGGACGCGAGCAACAGTCCATTTTGAAACGGAAATACCGCAATCTGCAGCTAGCTCCCTCGCAGTTTTCGTCGAGTTTGATGCCATATTAATCAACCGACGCTTGTCGCGTTCAGAAATAGTTGATTTTCGTCCTGGCTTCTTCTTCGGAACATTTGTTGATTGCTTCTTTACGACGCTCGCAACTGTGCTCTTAGGAATGTTGACTTCTCTAGAAATTTGAAGATAACTTTTTCCAAGGTGACGTAACGTGCCAATTCGAATCCGGTCTTCGTTCGTAAGTCGCGCATACCTGCGCATGCTTAAAAAACAAACATGTAAGCATGTGCAACATCCAGATACAGGGAAGAAAAAGTCGAATAAATAATTACCTTAGGTATTGTGCACCGCCAAGTAATGGACAATGCCCCTCCAGAATTTTTCAAAAGAACTGTCATTAATCGATTATCGCGCCAAATTTATTTGCTTTACTCTACACATAACATATCTGCGGCAGAAGCATTAGAAGTTTAAACCCTTCTCAAAAAATTATGTCGTTTATAGAGTGCAATCTATTGTGCACCGCAGTGTTCAGTTCGCGAGACGAACGGTCCAGGTCCAGGATTGAACTTTTTGACACTTTTCACCAATTTTGATGTTCCAACCGATAAAATAGATTTCCATCAAATACAGTCCCTCAGGTGTGCATCGGTAGCAACAAGACTAATCCTACACCTGGCACCAGGCAAACCTAATTACAAAACTTGTCAGATCGTAAGCCTTTGATTAAGGCAATAGGGTAAATCCATGTGCGGGCTGCATTTGCCAAACTCGTGCCTTGTCCTACCGAACACGCACTACATGTAAAGGAAGGAGCTCTTACTCGCGCTCAAAGCCTCAAATAAGTTGAACAGCGGAGCCCTTTCATAAAATACACGGCATATTCACTATGACGATTATTTTATGGAAAGAGTTCATCAACATCAGATAAGTTCCTTTGCTCGAGCTCGATCATAGGGTCACCTACCTCCCCGAAGGAAGTAAGAGATGATATAATTAGCAGATAGTTTAGCAGGCAATGCCGAGCCATTTACTCAGACAAAAGAGAGAAAGTAATGTTTTATTATGCTCTGTAAGATATGCTCATTATACATTATACACGGACTGCCTCAAATTTCAACGGGGAAAATTGGATATCGTTTTGAATGCTGAACACAATGAAACAGGCCACCTACCGCCTAAGACAATAAATCTTATCTGAACAAAGCGAGATGCACTTTGTTCATCATCAGCATCGATCGCCATAGCTGTACGTTTTGAACTATTTACAGAGTTATTATCACTAGAAAATAACCAAACACAAGTGGGCACAAACACGATATGTCTAACCGAATTAGCTACATCCATTCTACGAATTGAAATCGTACGACATACAGTCGATAAATGTGATTAGCCATACACATATATAATGAAAACCTATGCAGAAGCAGAGAACTGACAGATTTTTCTTTTGAATGGTAATCCAGTAATAGATCGATTTTAATCAATAAAACAGTAATAATAAGGCAGACGAGGTATGAAAACCGATATAATGACATGAGAAGGCCCGCAACCACACGAAAACAACTGATGATGTGACGATGATGATAAAATGATAGTAGGGATGAACAGGCACGCATTACAGTGACAAACTGAGGATAACGAGATGAAAAATGAAACCTGAGTGCTGCTAGCAAAGAGCATTAATGAAGCGATGCATCACTGAAGCACCTAATGGACGAAAATGTATACCAAAAAGATGTCATCAAATGGCGGCAGAAAACAAGAGATATATATTTTGAAAAGCAGGCATACGCCTGTTACTGGCACGTCTGTCAAATTTGTAAGCGATAAATGTAATGACTTTTAAGTTATCATGTAATAAGGAATAAGGGTTACCAGTTAATCTATTTTGAGCACATCACATACTAAATGTTAACAAGCCGTAATATATTTCATCGGAATATAAAAACATACCTTCAAGTTGGACTGCTTATTTGCTTGGTAATCAGAACCTAAAACAGTTTACGCCTATATGACTACAATTAAATTGACAGAACTCGTCCATCGAGCACTTTCCACTGACTTCATGATATTGTAGTAGTCAGTAATATCGCCATTCTATAGCTACAATGAAATCAGCTGATTTGGTCAAGTAAATAGAGTGAAAACTTAAGTTATGCTTGAACTCGCCATCATCGTATGTGATTATGCGAGCTTTGAGCAAGCTAGAAAGCAGGTAGTAAGGCAAAACGGCCAGAGGGAAACCACACATAATGAAGACGATCAATAAACATCTGTGTGTCAAAACGACATGAAAATTAATAGCAGTTAATAGTATACATCTGTATAATACAAAAATAAGGCCACAAAAATCTCTGAAAACAAAATGTAGCAATAGCGATATAATCAGGTATGATTGTCCAGTATCAAAAGAAAAATGCACCGGAAACTCGCCACCAAGCAACACAGCACACACCTGAGAAGTGCGAGTAATTCCGGCAGGAAAGCGCTATTAAACTCGACATACTCACAGATGATATGCTGCTGATATATGAATAATAGACAACACTTCATGAATTGAAAGTTCTACTTGCATCTATAGTGGAGTATCAGGGAATGAAGCGAAATGTTTGAAGGAAGCGTCGCGGGCGAGGGATGAAATGATATCGGCATCAAAGAAGGCATCGTATTCATAGCTATGCTAGGAATACGAAGATTTATGAGCGTTTATAAGTTGTTGTAGGTTCGGGTCAACTTCGGGCGCTCCTTCACGTGAGGTTATGGCAAGATGTAGAAGATGGCAAATGATCGCCATCCAGTCACAACACCGCGATTCGACATTTCTCGGATTGCTTGGTTTCACTGGTGCCTGTAACTTTGATTATATTTTCCTGATGTTCCCGTTGAGCAAAACCAATTGTTTTGTAACGACTGTAGGATCACCATGAGGGCTGCCGTCGACAACCTATACGCACCGAGTGCCCAGTTTCTTCTTGTCCAATAGAAATGCTCAAAGCCGTTTTAGCGACATTCAAAGAGCACTACGTTTACTACCCCTTGGCAGACTCAAAGCCCCTCAGAAGGTTTAGGAAGATACTATAGGCGGATCCTGCTACTTTTTTTTTTATGAAGAATACCTCACTTTCTTACTTCTTACATTTCTTCGAAAGGTCAAGCTTATGGTTATACTTACAATGAGTTACGCAGTGGCCTACGCCACAGTGGTTTGCAAATTTGATTGACGATAGTTAACGATAAAGGCTCCCATCAGGCAGTGAAACCAAAGGGTTTCAAGCTGAGGAAAACATCAAGACATGACCATGACAAAAATATTGAAATCGAGCGGGAGGCTTTACCCTTTTCTTTGATTATCGTCAATATATGAAGAAATCCCTGCCTCTGTTTCTGTAGCAGCAACTCTGAGACGTTCAAAAAGAGCACGTAGGCTTTGAGATCCAATCGTAACATCCTCGAGTCGTGGAGATGCCGCTGCAGCAACGTTTGCCGCAGCCTGTACACCCTTTGCCAACTGCTGATTCATCAGGTTACCTAATTATGTAAACAATAAGTAAACGAAACTGTTAGAAATATCTAAGTAAACAAAGCCAAAACAAAAAACCACTACAGTCAGAAGAATAATTTAACTCACCACTCATGTAGGATATCAATAATGGATTGACAAATCGCAGAACATACACGTTGCTGAAAATATGAATTTTTCGTAAATTAAGTATTTTACGGCTTCAAAAAGTAGAGCGAACAAAAACACTTGTCAGCACGAATTGAGCCGTTACTCTACTAAAAATTTCACAGAAAAATCATCAGTTAACGAAAACTGACCTCAAAACTCTTCTTAACAAATGCGGCTCATCTGGAAATCGTTCATATGCAACACGGGCAACTGCTACGAGAAGATCGTTTACAAGTGAATTTGGAGAAACAAGTCTATCAAGCATTTCAATCACATTATCTATATCCGCCGGCTGTAAAAAGGAATTTTTCTAACTATGGTGCCAAAAATGTGAAAAAAAAAGTTTGTACAGCATCAACCAACTATGACAAACCTGTAACAGCTTGATATTTGACATTCCAGCAGAGTCAAGCGCATCTTCCAAGCGTGATCGACCAGCTATACGCAACGTTTGGGTCAGCAATGTTGTTGTTAAAGAGTCTTGTCGCATGACATTTTCTGCCGAACACGACGCCAACACTCGCCGTAAAAGCCGACTGAAATTTAACTGAAAATTTTCACAAACATCAGCAGTGGATATTGCTTAAATGACCACCTTATGAACTGCAGCAGCTCATCACGATCTGGTAGGAGCAGTGAAACGATAGACCAGCACATCAACGAACGTTGTTGTATTGACAAGGCATCTGATGCCCATTCAAACAGCTCCACAGTTCCTTGTCTGAAAAGTAACGGATGCAATGATTTGGGCGGTCTACCTTTGATTGCCAAACAATTGGCTTTCAAAAATTTTCGAAATCAGGGAAAACTGATGGATATTAGCAATGAGGAAGCTGATACCTTTGTATGATGGCACCTATCTGGAGGGCAATCAATTCGATTAGTGAACACATAATTTGTGACTTCACACTCACCTCAAATAATCCAACAGTGGCGTATATTGAGCCTGACCGAGCACACGAATACGATGTCGGACTGCTCGGAAAGAAAAACCAGATTCCGGCGAATCGGCAAGCGGTCGTGAATCAGGTAAAGGGAACAGTGCCGAGACACCGAATGGTCTATTCTTTTTACCGCCTCCTGAGTGGGATAGTATCGAGAACTGTAGAGTACCATTTTCGTGAGGCACTAGCCTGTAAATGGATTAATGATAATAGCTTAACGAGAGGCAAGATGAAGAACCCACGGTAGGAGGAAGGAGCAGTCGAAAATTACAGATGACACTGAGCCTTTACTCAACGATGCCATTATCACGGGGGTACAACATACCTAAAGTCCAAGTTTTAAAATGTTGTAACCTCAGATAATCAAATCTGACATACTTTCACTCCACATAGCATCCCGTATGCCGAATAGAACCCATCAGATTTTATGGATTCGCACCTGAAAATCAAACCAAAATAATTAAGCGTGGCCTGAAAAGATGAGCACTTGCATAACACTAGTCGTACCTATATTTATCTATGTGAAGTTGTAAAACAGCAACAAATGACTGTTTAGGAGGTTCAAACTGTAAACCGATCATTACTGGAACTGCTCCTGTTCGAAGACCCAATACACGTGGTCTAAATATAGCCAATAAATATATTAGTGAAAACACGAAAAATTCGCGCTACACCATAAAAACCATCAATAATGGTTAAACAAACTCACCTTAATAACTCCAACCATTTAATGAGGATGTGTGTTGGCCGGAAACAAATATACACCCCTGATAGTTCGATATCTGTTTGTGAGAGAAATATGCAACCTTCACGAGCGAATACCGAGTCGTCGAGCAGATACATCACACAATAGGCCAAATCGAGTATAAGGCGTGCTTTGGCACTCTAAAAGTACTTCAATCGATAAAAAGACTTGCTTATCTCAGATTATACAATTAGAATACCTCGAAACCAAGTCTGAACAATCTCAGTGCCCCTTTACTGACAAAGCTAGCCGGGTCTCTCTTGTTTTCCTCCCTTGAAGTGTCACTAGGGGCATATTCCATCTTGAGAGAGACGGAGGACGTCTACCAAGAATGTGTGAAAAATTTTCCGTGGATTATCGAATTCAATGACACTTCAACAAAATACCCATATCGTACCCTTAGCAGTGTGTCTGGCGTCACCCACCCTTCGCTATCGTAAGCTAAACTTCTGCTCCAATCACCCTATTACCTGGATGTGCTTTGCAAACTATATCCCCAAGAACGTTTCACCTCAAAACGTACCGCTTCTGCGTCAGCAATAACAAGTTCACATCCACCGTTAGGGTCGTCACACAGCGTTAGCCAACAAGGCTTCCAAGCTTTCTCCTCGCGAGCTGAAATGAGACGAATTGAAGGCAATATAAGTTTGAGCCGACCACTGAGTCATTTATTCGTGCCACTTCTGTTGATAGCTGATAACTTCGAATTATTAAATAAAAGAGTCGAATTTTGTAAAAATGTGGTCAATGAGCTCACATTTTCGTAACGCCTGAACAGCAGCAACCGTATGAGAGGCGCAGTTATGATTGACGTAATCATCAGTTGCTTCTATTGAGGTGAGATTTGGGGACCAATCTGGATTTGGCATTGCGACCTGTTGAGCCGTATCATTTTCGACACTCGCACTCGCACGACGTGATGACGGTTGTGGCGGTAGAACAGCGTGCGTTAAACGCACATCACTTGCGATGGGATGGACACAGTATCTGCAAAAAAGGAAGATTTTTCTTCAAAAGAAAACGGCTTTTTGTAGACATTCTATTCGACAATACGACATCCGATTTACTTCAAGCATGACAAGAAACAAGTGCAAGCGCACCAAAATACTAAAACACCACTAAATGAACGCTAACTACCCAAGTGGTGCTGCATGTTTACTGATACGTTCCATTCCTAAAACATTTGGGTTTCACTATTAAATCTATAAAATGCAGCTCTTCCAGATTCAACATGAACTTTCATACTGAATACTGGGAACGTTGGAAGTCTTTGTCTCATCGGAGGAACGGCCACCGTACCTGTCAATGATATGCTGTAGGGATGGGAAGTGACGCCCCGCGAGAAGGAAGCCGTCTGTGCCTTCCGCAGCGCCACGTATCAGAAACTTTTCTATCTTGTTTCGCGTATTCACCAGAAGCGCGAAAGCATCTGCTCCTTGACTTGATATTCGCACGAGAAATGCACCAGCACCAACTAAACAAAAAAGGTGAATTAAAAACATAAAGCTGGTAAGAACAAAGCAGCAATCAAGGAAGACTCGCACAATTGTAATCTGTGAAAAAAAGCTCACCCTCATAGGTGCATATGTAAGCATATTAATTAGTCCTACTTCCCCTAACACAGTCAAAGTCAAGAAATCATTTATACAACAGTTTGAAAATTGAACAGTCGATATCATAATTATTTCAAGGTCCTTAAAGCAGAAGAAGCTGGAGAGTAAGGGTCATGGGGCATAAAAATGATTTGAGTTGCTTCTGTTCAAGCAGTGATGCAGAAGGGTCTAATGGAAAGAACTAACGCTGCATTTGTATCGATAGACAGACAGGCAAGAAATGTATAATAACCTGTTTTAAGAGATGCATCAAAGACTAACTGTTAAGTTAATATGGGGCCTTGAAAACTGGAAATAAAAGACTAAAGAATAGGAACAAAGAAGTTGGCCTGATGTGTACCACCCGGGTGGCGCTCAAGCAATTGACCTACACTCAAAATCATAGCAACGTTCAGTTCAGTGGTAATTACAACACATATTACTCGGCGATGACTAACCAATGAATAGGTCAGCGCCTTTATTCTCTCAGAAAAGTCTGGTAGCAATTTGGTGACCTAGGAGCAGTAGAGATTCAGTTGGCCAGGTACCTCGATCTGGGGTTTGATCCCCGTACAATGTGTGTGCTGTAGTCAGCTCGAACCACTTGACACCACCTAGCCACAAAATTCGAGCAAATTAAATACGCTCTCCGAGTAAGAAAACGCGATGGAAAATAGGAGAACGTGCGTACAAAAGGAGCTGACGATAAGATACTAACATCCATCCTTCTCGAGCACATTCAGAACACCACCCTTATCAAAAACTGTACCATCTTAACGGCGTTGTCTCACGAGAATTGGTTAAGCACGACGAAGAACAAATTGTCAATTCGTTGAGCATACGTTAATTGCGGTAAAAAAAGGTGAGATGATTTATATACCAAAAAAACTGACAGAAAGCTTCCCTCCACGTGATGTTGTGATGTGACCCGACAATTTTGGTATTCCGCCGCAGCGCCACGCCTTCAACTTCTCGTGCATGTTCCTCAAACTCTCTCCCAGACACATCACAACATCACGTGGAGGGATTACGAGTGCACTTAGTGTATGCTATATAGGGCAGCACAGAGTGTCCTTACAAACAAAAATATGCAAATAACGCTCTGAAATCGAATGGTTTCCCAGTTCAGAGAGTGGTAAACATCAACATATGTCCTTATCAGCACAATATTGAGACAAACAAGATACGAATTCTCATTTCATTGTAGTGAGACATGCTTTAAGAGCAGATCTCAAGATATGACGTTGGATTTTCGGGAAATGACTGTGTACAAATCAGATTTCTGTCTACTAACTAGTAGAAGTGTATTCACAATAGCGGGAGGAATATCGCTATTGAGTAACATCGCTAGAAGAATCGACCAGGTATAGTTAACGATCGGCAGCTCACTAGAACTCACCTGCTATGCTACTCTATTGGCATGCTGGCTAACAGGCAGACACACTTACATAGGTAGGCCGGCAGACAGATAGACAAACAGGCATACCGACGGGAGACAAACCGGTAAACAGAAAAACTGGCTAATAAGCCATTCAGTTAACTACGATCATGGATCTGCTAAGTAAGACGACGGCTAGGGGTGCGTTGTATGACTTGCGCTATCACTCAACTGCTACCTTAACACACTACTGACACTTTCACCGCTAAATAAAATAATCATCAAATAGACTCACAGCCACTGTAAAGGCACAGTTCACGATAATTTTGTGGTAATCTCTTTAAGCTGAATAGCGGAAATATTGGCGAGGGATGATGCGTGTATAAGAAAGCGAGGAAGTCCGCCGATTTTGCGAAAAACGAGGGGCAGTAAGATATTACCACGATGGGAACAGCATGGAAGGGGTAATCGTTACTAGTTATTTGGATTTCCAACTTGCTTGTCCCCGTCTATGGCGCTGCCTACACAACGCCGTTAAATCTCGTCTGCCTTTGGGCGTGAAGTCAGGTAGGTAGTAGGTGAATGAATTGCGCCGCGCCTCTCTTCCCTTTGGAGGAACGGCATCAGCTCATGGTCCGGTTAATGGAGGGAGCTTGTGGCTATGAAGTGCCAGTATCTTGATTATTGATCTAACTTCACTGCTGTAGTTATTTTGTGTTTAAAAAGGGGACTGTATTTTCTCAAAACTTTCCGCTCACCCTAATAGCAAAAATGTTGAGACTAATCGGCTCTATAACCCGGACAAAAAAGGAATGTGCGTCAATTTTCTGTTTCGGTCGAAATGACCGAAATAACCGGTATCATGAAAATATCGTAAAGGACACATAGAGGTCAAGCAACAGGAACCAGCACTGAGCGAGATTACTTGAGTAAATTCAAATTCCTGAGCAAGTAACCGGAATGATCAGATTCAAATTAGGTGCGCAGAAGCGAGCCACCTGAACTATTTGCAACATAATGGGTGTAGTCGCATAAAGAAGGTCATCGTTACCACACCCACACAAAGCCTATGTACTCATGTACTCCTTCACTCCTAGTTCTTTGCCAGCGATCGTTAACAAGACATCTTGGAAGCCTCTCACACGCCTTCTCGATCATATCGCTAAGCCAACATCGATAGGACCTTACTGTCTTCAATTCATATGATGTCTATAGCATTAGCTGACCTAGAAATGTGGTTATGCCCAAAACGTCATCAACAACTTTTAGTAGGGTTAAAAATGATGATGTTTCGGAGCCATATTTGGAAGCCATAGCTTTGGACAATATTCAATCACATATATTAGTATATGTCCCAAATTGGAGAAATATAGATAAACAGCTTCGATAGAAACATAAGATTCAGATGGATTAAGAGTCTCACCTGTTGTCAGCATTTTTAACGCATCCGTAGTCACAACGGAGTGGAAATATGGCAATTCTTGCACGCACAGCGACTCTGACAGCTGAAAATCGACACAATTCATTTAATGAATCCAGTTTCCTTAATGATGCAGAAGCTACTGAATTCTTCGAAACATTTACGATAACAGCCAAGCTTAGCCACTCGTACGCTGGATGTCACGGGATTGGACGTCGCTGATGTTAGAAAATGATACCAAATGATAAGGGCTGATAAAAGGCCTTTAAAACGAGTTATCAATAAATGCGTTACGGCTTCCGTCACCAAACATGAGGGGCTCCTTCTTGCAAGTTATGTAATGGATAAGATGGAAGATAGTCAAAGACAGCAAATGATGAAGATTGGAAAGAGGCAAAAGTTTGAAAGGAAGATTGTCATTTGCATTTGCATCTATAATTACAGCATGGGGTGGGTAGGAAACATAGACGATGTATGATGTAAAGTGGTACCAAGTGATAAAATTTGAGAGGAGGAGTTAGAAAGAAAATATTGCTGAGCGCAATTCGTTCCTCTTTCGATGAGTATAACGTGGGAGAGGACATGGAGTGATAATAAAGAAAGCGAATAATTGATCAAGGTGGCAATTTAAATAAGAAGTACGGATATCGTGTTCCCTCAACTGTGATGGCGTAGCTATGACGGTGCAAGAGCTAAAGATGAATTGACAAGGACATAGGGGAAGTGGCAGAAATGAAAATTAAGTTAAGGACGGAGAAATTAACCATGTCAGCGCACCCGACTTCTGACCATCTTTACTTTGATATTCTCTAACAACTTGTTCCGGATTCCAGAACGTTTTCGAACGAAATTGAATTGCAGCGCAAGTGCCTTTTGATTGGGAGCACGCCACGCCCATTTTGGGTGGAACTTTGCTTGGTTTGGGCCTTGCATAACAGTTTTTCAGTATTTGCGAGCTGGGTTGTGATTTTATGCAATGTTCTGCGCACTTTGAGGGCACCCTACCCATCAGGGGTAGGTTTCCTCCACCTAATTTTACTCATACATTCCTCACTTCTGCTCATTTCTCGATGTCTGGTGGTTCTGGAAGCAAATCAGAAGTTTTGCTTTCAGCACGTACCCATTTCACTTCATGTCCCGCTCGCGCTTTGCTGAGATCACACGGGATATGCTAACAGAGCCCTGCACCCACCTTAAACATTCGCAGCGCTTCCTGAGGGAATACTGAGTTTCGTAACAGACTTACAGATGGACTCCTTGAGCTCAAGTCGTGTATAGTGGGGATTGCAAAGGTAGACAATTGGACATTAACAAAGAGCGCAAGACAATGGAGGTTCATCTCTTGGAAAGGTTGAAGTAGGGCATAAGATGACATTTCAAACAAACAGTTTCTCATTAGTTGTCTTTTTTACACTTTAATCGGAAAAAGTAACCGAGGGCTAGCTGACATTTTGTTGTGTTCAACGAAGGCAGAATCCTTTGAATGAAAATACCGTAATAAATCATAATGGGCAAAGAAATCCGAATTTAGTGGATCAAAGCTGGAGCACCAAAACATTCCAAGAGCAAAAATGAATTCTACCGGCAAAAAATCTTTCAGAAGGAGCACTTTCCAGTGATGAATATGATGGCAATCATAGGCCAATGAAAGGTTGCGAAAGAATGGATGTGAATGCGCATATTTTGTAGTTTGATGGAAATTAACCTATTATAGCGAAATATATGTGTAATACAAAGCACACAACATCGCAAAATCCGCTGTGTACCCCATTTTTAAGACTCTGAACAAATATTAAGCTAACAAAACTAGGAAGAAAGTACAAGTCCTTCCGGGAGATAGGACAATTACGGGTTCGAGTCCCGTCCGAGACTGAAGTTTTGTACCAAGATCGCCAACCTTGAGAGACTTTCCGAGCGCGTACTGGGCCGATATAACGGCAGTTAACAGAACATCAATTCAAAATAAGAAGAACGCAGTATTAAGTGGGTAAACGATACAGAAGAGTCATATACTCTTCGAAATTGCTTTTCCGGGTATAATTAAGCAAATTCGTTTTAAATATTAAAGGTCAGATAAGTTAAGAACTCACAATAGGCGCAACGGCTTTCGCAGACAAGTAACCCGTTTGACCCGTGTTTTCGTTTCTTGCTAAGATAAAAGTTCCTTCAAGCACATGTAACTGCGTTATCACATCACCTCTCGAGATACTGAAAATAGAATTTAGCCGAAAATAGAATTTAGGCTCGACAGCATAGTCAAGGTTATCTGGAACTAAGCCACAATAGAGCAAATTTTGATCAAAGCCTACCTTAATTCATCATTGTCTGCTACATCATCACATTTGGAAAGAGCTAAATATCGCCGCATTTGAGCAGTGCGAGTCGTCTGAAAAACGAGCATGAAATATATAATACAAGGTACAGATGAAGAAGTTACGATTTCTCCCGATGACAAAATATTCACAGAATAACCCAGTTCTTTGAAAATGAAAGTAGGATAGCTACCCTCCCTCCCTCGCTTCCTTATTGCTCATGTTTCACTTGCACATTTTTACTTTTCCCTTTGTTTCCATTGGGTTCAGCAGAAATTGTTTTTCACCTTCATTTGCTTTCGCAACACGATAAGCAAATAACTATTACGTAAGTTCGTTCCCACAATCCAAAAAGAGTCATTTAGGCAGTTATGGAACAGACTGTAGGCAAAGATGCTGGAGCCCGCAGACGGATGATCACTTTAACTGACTGATGTAACTGTCAACTTTATTTTGTTTTCCATGCAAAGCAGCAGAAAGACGCCGTTAATTTGCTTGCAGAAGGCTTTGGCAGTAGCGCGTTCGCAAGGAAGACGATTTGCCTGCAACTCCAGGCATTATTCCCGATAATTAAGTTACCCCTTAGCAGTTGCAGCCCCTCCACAGCTAAGTGATTCACGTATTGACCTATTCTCGTTTATAAAACTGGTAGCACTCTATTTATGGTTTTTCATGTTCGAAATTTCCTTGTCTTTCTTAGCCATCACATGTGTTCACAGTATCTTGCTATATGGACTTGCTAGATGTGTATGTGGACAAAATTCGCTAAGCGCGAGAAAAACTCATACCCTCGTGCTCTTCACTTCAAATTGGGGCTTTAACACCTCCCCTCACATTGAACATTGGGGTGTGAGAAGTGACGCGAATGTAGTTGGTTGACTAAGGAACCGATGGCATTTGATAAAGGGTTTAGGTAGGGGCCATTGAAAGCAAGGGCCGCTGAATCTGCCACCCCCTCCTGTCAACAATGGGGCCTTCACCCTTTGATGGGTGATGTGAGGTATGAAGCAATTGGAAATAATTGGTAACAGGAACTTGTAACAACTGATAAAACCTGGACTGGGCCGTATTAGTTGAGAGCCACTGAGTCTGTTACGCCCATCGTGTTAACAGTGGAACCAAGCCACTCTGTGGGGGTGTGTCAGGAGCAAACATGGCCTGTGAAAGAAACCTGATAACAGCTGATAAATATTGATAGGAGCTATAATAGGTAGGAGCTATTCTTTTTACTGAGAATGAAGTATTCCTGCTGCAGCGGGGAAAAGCGACGGGACCAGATCGACAGCTACCATTTGAAAGAAAATGATAACAGCTGACAATGCTGATAAAAAGACCTCAGAGGCCATGAGCTACTTGGTCCCTAATCATCATCTTATTGATGATGACCAATGCTTTACATTCATGAAGATAAAAAGTGCCATTAATAACGAATTCCGATGTGATGTTATCACAACTGGGCAGCATTGAAAATTATCATCCACGGCTTCAGCTGACTAATCGGATCACTGAGTTATAAAAAAAAGAAGCTGCGACACTGAAGCAGGTAAGGGAAGGATTGAATCTTCAATGAATGCTTATTGTTAAGACCAAGCCCAGCAGAACCAGACACCAATAACCATGAGCATAAGCATCACTAAGTTTTTTGCTGCAACGCTGTTTATCACAACCGCCATTCATCCTTTTCCCGAGGTTGGTTTGTAAAGTACAACAAATATTTAAGGTCAAAATCCTCCTGGTCCGGATATGACAAACATTTACGAAAATAAGCAGGAACAGCAAAGCAAGCTTAGTGATGGCGCCATCACACGCACGATACGATGATCAAATGTGGCCGTTATAAGGCACTCAACCGACCAGAATTTCGTTTGAAAGCCACTACGGTTCCGAATAAAGAGTGAATGCACATCCCAAAACGAAAATAGATACGGAGAACCTCACAATTCCCTCAAAGTTCTCCTCAATTCAGTAACTCACAGGCATGTATGGAGAATTCAAAGCTGATGACTGAGCTTGTACGGGCTCAGCTGTATCCACCATGTCACAGTGATGTTGCACAGCTTCAGCTAATGTGGTAAACTTCCCCGCGTTCAAATAGAAAAAGCGGCCCAGTTGGTGGATCCTGAAAATAGATGAGTTCAAAAAGGTTCTTCACTCGATGACACAAATGCAATACTTCTGGCCTCAAAGAAAGTACCCAGGCCTTTTCTTGCCACTACAAGATGAAAATCCCATTTGAAAACCACACTCACGGCAAATGGAGAAGTAAGTGGTTGTCGGTTACACAGGATAGAAAGTATCGAGTAGGACCAGCTTTACGCACAAGAAATCGGCCTGGCTGCGCAACATCGAGTAGCACTTCGGCCTCCGTCTGCGAAATCTCGCCATGATACCATGGGCGACCCGCTGACTCCGACGGTGATACAATTTGAGACTTGAAATTGGAAATATTTCTCCAAAACGGTTCCAACTACAAATTATGAAAGTAATTTATCAATGCTTTTAAAACGAATAATTATGGTAAATCGAAGTCAGAACCAGCGAAAAATCCCATTGCAAGTGCGCACTCCTTAAGCAACCTTTTTTAATGGCTGCTAAGTGACTAAGCAAGTCTACAAATATAGAAAGTTCACTGAGTTTGCGGAAAGGATATGGTAATTTAGGCTTACAAGAGCCATTATATGAATAATTACTTTGACTTGATGGTGGAAAAATCAAAAAAGTGTTCTAATAAGCGTATGGTAGAAAAATTTAAACAAACTGGCAATCGCGAGCTGGTTGACGACGTCGACTGCAGCATAGATGGGTCGTCGTCGGGGCCATCTGCGCACGATGAGGTCGCAACGTCATTCAATGGAAGCATTTTCATGGGCTATCATGTTGTTAGGCTTCCTATCATAAATCACCTGAACGGAAGGAATGAACTTTATATCATGTAATATCGAAAATCGTCAAAACAATGCGCGTTTTGCAATTTTGTGCACATCTAAAATTTGACATTCAAAGAAGCGAATAAATCATTCCGTCACAACAGTAAACGTACAGACAGTAGAGCATGGTTATCAATTTGTGAGGTAAGCAATAATTTCTTACAGGAAACTGATAACAAAGCCAAATTAAATTATGGAAGTTGAGCGAACCCACAGAGCCAGTGATAAAGGAATTGACACAATAACAAGACTGGAAGACAAAAAAATAGGAGACAGGATGGGTGAAGAAAAGTGCATGCGATTGCACACATCGATCGTTTCCAAGAACGACAACATCGGAAACATCGAAAGTCACGTTGGGAACAGGAAATGGAACCGCCACGCACAGATAAGTCAATGATAATCATGATGATGACGCCAGCCGTCAATAACGCCATTATAGAAAAGCCTACATTGCAAAACGGATGAAACAGTTGCCATGTTCCTTAAAAAGAAAAGGCATTCATGGGAAGAAGAAGAGAAAATGCGCGACGGAAGGGAATTCTTACCCGATTCGTCCTTTTTTTGCACTTGAGTACATTAAGAAGTTTCCAAGACGTGTCTTCTTCGTATCCAAAAAAAGAACCCAAGCATTCTACTGCCAGCGGTAACATTGCGACGTTAGAGGTAAAGTGATTTTGCTTTCACGAAGCTTTCTGATTCTGTTTTCTCAGGACCATCGGCAGAACATATATACGCCTTTTCACTACTGCACGGATTACTGACAAAACTTACCCAGAGGCCACTTTACCTCTACATTAGCTCTGTGTAAGACTTCTTACTCCCACTGAATTATTTCAGGATTTACCGTTGGAAGCGAAATGACAAAGAACCAAGCTGGAATTCTCATTCTTGGGCGAGAGCATCCACGCAGTAAATTTGAGCAGACCACAGTACAATAAGAACCAACTTAAATCCGCTCGTAATTGTAAAGATAGTAATATTCATTCGGCAATGATTTACTTTTCAAGTCACTCATAGCGAAAATCATTCCCCATTAGAGCAGAAGCCGACGAATCCTGATAAAAGATTCCCATCAACATGGAAGGCAGTGAAACATGGTATCAGGTATAAACCCATTCGAGTAATCTCAAGGTAAAGAAATCACCAAGTCTATCAACATTGAACTTCAAAAGGACTTCGAAACCACAATTACGTAAGGATTAAACCACACGATTTCCTACCGTCAAACCCTCTCTCCTTTGGTATGGGTAACACTACAAACACTTTCCACATTCGAGAAGCCAGCTTCCAGAAAGGTAGGCTACTGTAAAAGGAACCATGCGGTACAAGCGGAAAGAGTGAGATCTACTCTGGTCTTGAAAACGGGTACCAGAGGCCCCGTGCGGATGACCGCCACAAAACTGAACCAGTGCATGCGCGCATGGGAGAGAACACAGAACCAATACTCTCGCTCATTGCAGAACGAACCCTTGGTACGATTGATTTGGTCATCCTAGGCTACCACGAGTGCGACTAGAAGTCGACAATTCCATTCGATAACCGACCGAACTGTGAGGCTAGAACTTTGACGAGTGTTCTCGCTTGTAGGGGGTTCCTGTTATCCTCTTTATCATTCGCGACAACTCCTGACTTCAAACATTTTACCTCGTGTTATTACCAACTCCCCCCTGAAGTCCCTTATCGCACCATGTCAAGCCTCCCACACTGATAAGGCATTTCAGGATAGGGAGACTCCCTCTTCCTTCTCTCATGAATGATCCTTTGCAAATTGGCCAGTTCTCAGGAATCACCTAAGGATGCTATGAGCCGAGAACCTTCCCAGGTGGTTTTTTATAAGTCAAACTTTTCATTTTGAATATGCGGACCATTCATTTGACCGCAATGCTAATGCCACGGCAATCATATTAGACCAGTTGGACCTCCCGACCTCCTTCTCTCAGATCAATGATATATTTCTAATTGAAACGTTCTGAAGGCGAATGTAATGCCACAGAGTTGGCATAAGGCCCAAAAGAAGAGGTGCCCGACATGAACGGAGAAATGGAACTGGCATTTCATATTGGATGGATACAGATATGATTATAAAAATCGACTTGTTACAAATCTTGACAATAATAATTCAGGATTTAATTTCTCCATTTGTTGTGTTGACTGGCAAAATATTTCTTTAGACAGGACCAACCCATTTAGTCGTCTGTAACCTTGAATGGAACTAACCAATGCCGCCGCCTATGATAACATCATTATCAGAAATCACTGCCCATGACCGCTCTCATCATTGAGATGAAGCCATCCAAGATTTCCAGATTAGTGGTAGCCGATAAACTTTGTCGCAGGGGTAGTGAGATCAAGGGAGACAGGAACCTTTTAAAAACAGCAAACCTTGGTGCTTCGTGTTCGTAATGGTGCTTACTGTTCGTAACAGAAGAGTAAAGGATTAACCGAAAGTCGTTACCTTGAACGGTGTCGGTTTTAATCACTCCTTATCACACTACTGCCACCTATGAAACATAACAAGGTACCAAGGTTACACTGTAAATGCTTTAGCGAATCAGAATCTAAAGGCACCTGCCCTAGGGTCCGTTATCAGCGTTATCAGCTGTTATCATTTCCTTCTTTCCTAATCTGGATCCAGTCTAAACAGACATCCCGCTTTGAAGTAGCAAGGCTTCACCTTTAATATGGAAAGAGGAAGCGATCCAGCCGCTTTCGCCTTTTAAAGCTCATTATCTGCCTATAGCAGAAGGCATTAGTCCTTGTCAACAACGATCTACGATCCCGTCACACATCACTCGCCGAGTATCAAGGTCTCACTGTTGACACGAAGGGCGTGACAGACTCCATGGCTGCTGTCTCCTGGGCGCCTTATCAGCCGTTATTGGTTGCTATCAGTTCCTGTTACTCACCATTAGTGTTTCTAATCTAGCGCTTCTATCCTTTCCAAGCTTGAACACTAATTCCAGTGAAACAAGAGTTATAAACATTCACACACATTAACACACCCACATACACGCATACACAGAAACAAAAAAAACCTAGCGAATCTTATGGAGTTAAGTAGGTTCTCAGTTCACGGAATAGGATTAAAGTCATTTCTTCAAAGAGTAGTTCTCTCCCTGACATCCAGAATTATCCCGCTCTGTTCCTAGAGGATGTTCTAGGAAGGTCTTGATTAGCCTTCCGTTTAATCTCTTTCTCTTCGCCCGACCTTTCCTAAGCGCTAGAAGATAAAAATATATCAATCACTAGCTCAAGGCCAGAATCAAACACGTTTTAGCGGCTTAGAAGAGAGAACCAGAGAGAGAGCGGATGAGCACAAGCGTCCCACGTAAATTACCATTGTTTCATCAATACCCAAGTGGAGAAGTGTAGTACAGAGAGGGGATTTGAAAACATAGGGGTGGATGTTAAATATCTCACTGGGCTATAAATCTTCTTTACCATGGTCACACTTGAGGTCTTCAAAGAATTCAACGGATTGAGCGGATATGGCGTGGAAATGTAGTACCTGCCGTGTAGGAGAAGCCGTTCCAAGACTACATCTCAAATTCATCACCATGTCGCTGTTGTTGTATCTCCGCAGTACTTTCAGCCAAGACTTCCTGAAGCCCGACCTACCAGCTCTCCTCAACCGGACTCACCATATCAACTAGAGACCAGGTGGATAGCTCTACACATCACACATCCACCAAGGCCATCATAGGCTTTGTTAATTGAAGCACATTGCGCTTTAGTAGAGCTTTTAATTGATTTACTTGTTTACACCAGGAAGTGGAGTTCATAGTAGGAGTAGGAAGGCCCAAACCGATAAATATTAATTAAGGGATTACTAATGCTAATCTCAGTACCACCTGTGAAGCGTCCAACATCCACCTGTTTCTCTAAATACTTGTCTAGAGCGAGGAAGAAGTGGCTATGAGTCACTGACTCAAATTACACTTTCACCAAACTTATTCACAGAAGCTTGCATAACGCAAAGGTCTCGTACACATTATGGTGGCATTCCAGGAACGATTAAACAAATAACAGTTCTGATTATCCAGTACCATGCGTTTGCGTTCAAAAACTAGCAGTTGCTCAGATTCCCAAAAGGATTAGGGAGTATTGGGTCTGAAGATTAGAAGCTTCACCGAGGTAAAGCCTTTGTGGAGCACAGTTTTAAGTTGGAGCTTTGGTGAGCTCTCAGGCCTTAACAAATGCTCGATGAACTAAAAGTCGGCAACGCTACTGTCAGAGCAAAATCAGCATATTATCTACGTGAATAGAGGTCGAATTCCAGAAGTTGCTATGAAGATGGGAGAAATTGCAAAGGATTAGTCCGATGTGCGAGCACGAAACATCTTCCATACATGACAGGACTACAAGTTCTACTAGTGTGACAACATGGGCTCAGAATACTATGGCTTGGCGAGCAATTTCGAGGAATACATCAAGTCTTAATAAAGACCTCCACAAGGAGGTTGCCACGGAGCCCGGAGCCACCCACGGAAGGCTAGTAGACTGCTCTGCTCCCCTTCTGCACACCTTGTCATTGAATCGAGAATCAGGCAAGTCGACAAGACTGTTGGAGCTCAGCGGCTATTGACTGGTTCCTCTTACCTTGAAACGGCCACACGGTGAAAGGACGACATCTCTATGCAAACAGTGTGGAATCATCCTTACACTTCTGTAGC